CAACATAAAATCTTGGTAAATAAAGATGAAAATAAGCGAACCTCCTGAAGCTTCACTAGGGCAAAACAACAGTTTCCCTAAAATGTAACTAAAGTCAAAGAGCCCAGCCTCAATCCAAGAGTTGGAAATCTTATTACTAGTTGCTACACAACAGTTATGTTAGAACTTGACAAGAAGCTATAACTTAATCCTACAGCAGGGGTGGACAAGACAGCTTCCGAGGGCCAGATCCGGCCCACCAATCCGATTGATCTGATCCATGGCCGACCTGCCACTCCCTTGCCCCCAGGCCAATCGAGACCTAGGGACAGGGGAGCGCACAAAGTCTCCTACTACTGCCAGGGGTGTACAGTGCATAAAGGGAACTGCCAGCTGTTCAAAACAACTGGTGATTCTCTCTAAAAGTGCCAAGTGTTCCTGGCAGGGCGGGGGCAGGGAGCTTCTTCTCGATGAATTATGAGTAACAAAGCCCCACCCAATAGCTAGAAGTGGAGGCTAGAGAAATTCAGACTGGAAATAAAGCATATATTTTTAACAAGTAATTAACCACTGGAATAATTTACCTGTTATCATGGTGGACTCTCTACCCCTGGCAATTTTAAAACCAAGACCTGACGTTTCTCTAAAAGATATGCTGCAGGGATTATTTTGAGAGTTCTATGGCCTGTGATATGCTGGTCAGATTAGGTGATCATAATGGTCCCCTCTGTCCAGGAATCTATGAATCTATGCTCAGCAAAGAAGGATACCAACAGCTCAGAGCCTTGTCCTAAAATTAACCTGTGTATAAGATTGGGTTAGATTAAGGCAGGTATGCTCTGCAGTTCACTCTTCTGTTCATGTCTCATATTTCTCACTCCATTAGGCACAACTCCATTCTCAACATTTTTGGGCTCAGGACCCATTTGTAAATATTTATGGCACAGATGTAAGCGACTAGTCAACTACCCAATACGCATATGCTTATTGGGTAGTCGAGTAGTGACTCGACTAGTCACTTCCCCCCACCCCGTATTGCCTCTGTCAGAGAAAAGCAGCAAGTGTGGGGCAGTAGGAGCCAGTGTTGGGAGGAGCTATCTTAAGAGCCAGTTCCCCCCAATACCATCTCCGCAGGAGGGCAGGGGAGGCAGAGGTGCATGACCGGGGACTGAAGCGGGTCCCCACGGAGCTCTTGCTACATTTCAAAGGCAGAAATGCAGCAGTTGGAACACAAGGCAAGTGGGGCCTGCTTGAGTCCCCGCTCATGCCGTGCTCCCCACTGCTCTTCTGCCTTTTTAATGTAGTAAGAGCCGTGGGTGACTCTTATTGCATTTATCAGGCAGAGGTGCAGCCGGGATAGCGAGGGCCCCACTTCCCCTTATCAACTAATCAAGTAGCCAGTGGAAATTCCAACTACTTGATTAGCTGATTACATGAAATTTAACATCCCTAGTTTATAGCCTGTCACAACCCAAAAAATAGTCTGGGGGATGGAGGGATGCTCCGAGGTGGTTTGAATTGGGTCCTGTCCCTGGGGGTGAAGAAGAGTTGGTTCCTGTCCAGCACTCACCCCACAGTGGTAGCTCCTGCAGCTACTACGCGGTGGAGCACTTTGAGCTCAGCTTTTGGCTTTGGGTGTTGCAACCTCCGGGATTGCATCACTACTCAGGTTTGGCTTTGCCCCCTTGCATGGACCAAATTTGTCTGAGTGGAATTGTGACCAGGCTCATGGGGTTACAGTGCCTCTCATTCAAATTTGGCCTATCCAGACTCCCATCATCATGATTAAGGCTACGATTTTTTTTACAAACGTCGGAGAAGTCTCCCTGTGCTCTAAGCCATTGTGAGTGGCATAGGGCAGCTGGAGAACCCCAGAGCTCCAAGCAGACCCCCATAACTGCATACTTGCTGTGGAGGGTACGGGGACCCCAATTTGTCATGAGTATTTTTAGTAAAAGTCACAGGCAGGTCTCAGGCTTCCGTGATTTTTTAAAAAAGATAACTCTAAGGTTCCCTTTGGTAGATCTGAAGGCCCAATTCTAGGCTGGCATCTTGCAGAGAGCTCTTTTAAGTAGACCAAAAGATTAATGAGTGAACTTGTTCTCGCTGGCAGGCACTCAATTCTGGAAATCTGTCTCTGCAGTTAGTCAGAGGATCTGTCAGATGAACGCTTTTGAAGTCTTGAAAAAATTGACTGCCAGCCTTCCTGGTAAGTGAGATGAATATGATCAGCAGTGATTGATTTTGTAGAATTAAAGTGTATTAAGACTCAGAAGAGACCCTCCTCTCAGTAACTACTAGGCCTATGTGTCTGTAGTTCTTCATGTTTTCCTAAATGTTTCCTGTGCTACCTTAAGTTTTTTTGTGAATGTATTGAATAGTTTTGAATTCACAGTACATGTAGCTGTTCTGTATGCTCTTTTCTATGCCTCAGAAGAAACAAAACTAGAACAAAAACATACAGAGCTCTTATATTTAATACGACAAAACAGTAAAAATTTTACTGCAGGAGGAATGTCATTTCGTAAGACTGCATCGGCCTCTGTCTCTATAAACACCAAGATTACAGGATTTGCTGTTTGTGGGAAAAAAGAAGCATCTACTTGTTCTAACACAGACTTCTCAAATTTCAGCTAACTGCATTTACTTTTGCATCTATACAATTTTAAAGATGAATGCAGAGATTTTTATTGAGGAGGGAGGAATATTTATTGTCAACTACTTTGGGTCAAAGTCGTCCGTGCCTACTTTGCATTGGTGTAAATGCCAACACCAACGCTATGAATAATTTAGCAGTGTGTGTTTTTTAAAATTTTATAAAGTTAGTTTTGGTTTCATGGGCATATGATCTAAAATCTTTGTATCCATATATACAACATATTGGCTACGTCTAGACTGGCCCCTTCTCTGGAAGAGGCATGCAAAGCAGGCAAGTCAGAATAGGGAAATCCACGGGGGATTTAAATATCCCCCGCGGGATTTAAATAAACATGTCCACCGCTTTTTTTCTGGCTTTCAGGTAGGAATAAGAGTTCCTCCAGAAAAGGGCTTTATTCCGGAGGATCGCGCCAATCTAGACGCTCTTTTCTGGCTTTTCCCCAAGCCGGAAAAAAAGCGGCGGACATGTTTATTTAAATCCCGTGGGGGATATTTAAATCCCCCGCGGATTTCCCTATTCTGACTTGCCTGCTTTGCATGCCTCTTCCGGAGAAGGGGCCAGTCTAGACGTAGCCATTGTGTTTTGAAAACTTATATGAAACACGAAAGACTCTCAAAAGCTCTGAATTGTATATGCTGTGCTCAACGAATATTCATTGAGCAATTTCATCATAGCACATTATTGTTTCAAATGCAGTACATGCTCAAACAGAAAAAGAAGAAGGAAAAAGAAATCACTATTGTGCAGAACTAAACTTCTGTTATGAGTTCATTGGACCAAGTAGTGTTGGTAACTCCACTGAAGTCAATATACAATGCACACAGCAGCATAGCAATCACCACTGAAAAACTTGTTTAGGGATATTTAAAACAGTGACATGAGGAAACAATAATATCTTATCTACACTAGGGAGATCTGTTAACCCTTGTTAACATTGATTCAGTGACAGGCCATTTGTCAAAAGCTTCTCTAGTGTAAGGAATTAGACTGTGTTGTTTTTTTAAGGTGAAAGAGGCATTCTTCAGTAAGAATTCTTTATCTATCCTAGTCGGTGGCAAAGAAAAGCTCTAAGGGCATCCCAGTAGTGAAATTAAATCTGATGTTGTGAAAGTAAAACTGATGTTGTGATGTGCTCCACGCCACACAAGAAACTTTAGATTAGGTAGGCAGTATATGGCAAGTATTAAGGACTGGATAATTAAGAGGTTTAAAGGAACATTGTCAACAGTAACAGGTTAAAGCAAAATGTTAGGTTTTGCTCATATATATGAGAGATCTCAGATTCACTTTTAAAAATTCAATGGAAATAATAGTTTAAATTTAAAAACCCCCTTTATTGTTTACTGACCAAACACTGGTTAGTTAAGAACCAAGAAGTGAAATTCACTAGAAACAAAAATTACCATGGACCAAGCTAAGTGAAAAACAAAAAGGTAAACACAAGCAGTGAAACTGTTTAACTTGAAATGAACTATGAAAATTTGTGATTAATGTCCATGGCTCTGTAAACAGCATCCCATTTCAACAGCCAAGTTTATCTTGTTTTGGAAAGAAAATATCCCACCCTGGATCCTGGCATGTTGTATGCAAGTTTCAGTCTGAAGGAATTTACCACAAGCATGTAATAAAACCCTCAAAAAGGGAGAAATAAGCATTTTTTCAGCTGAGTGGCCTCTATTATTTAGCTGGTACGATCTCTGTGTACCGCGAAGCTTCCTCTGACTTTGTCTATGCACAATTAGTTCAGCATGTAGCAACCGTTCTGGAGCATGGTATGTTCCATGATAAACACAGCCCCCCACTCCATGTTTGGAGAGACGCTTGGGCGGGGCAGAGGAGGACAAAGGACCATGCAGCGGTCCAGAGGTTCGGGATGTGCAGCGGGCCCTTGTCCCAACTGGAAATGGTGTCTTCCAGGAAAAAGCACATTCAGTCCCCCACCTGGCGAAGAAGGGAACTGAAGGGAGGGCAGTGGAGGGAGACCACAGACAATCTGGACTGGAGGGGAAAAATGCCCAGCTGCCCACACCCTTAGGGCTTAGCACAACAACCCCCCTCCCCGCAAATGCCTTTCTCCGGAGTATATCCCAAGAGGGGAAGCGAGGGGTCCCAGGCAGTCCCCTTTATCGCGGGCTCAGCCAAGTCAGGCACAAGGAAGAGCCAGGGACAAAGAAAGTCTGTCCGCAAAAGCAACTCGGGGCAAACTTCCCGGGGAGCCGAGTCAGGGGCTGGCACCCTTATGCCTCCCGCCAGCCGGTGCCGGGGGGCTCCAGTGCCGGGGGGCTGCGGCAGGCCGGCGGGCGCCCTTTGGCAAGCGGTGCCAGCTCTGTGCCCGAGCGGCGGGCCGCGGCGCTGTACTCACTCCAAGCAGACACACTTTCAGTTCTCGTATCGCCATCATCTGCTTGGGGGGAAGCCGCTTCGCATCCTCCGGCGGAGTCACTGGCCGGCTCTCCCCGGCAGGGAACGGAAAAGCAGCGGCGGCACTTTTTTTCCTCTGGGCTGCCCCCGCAGGCTGAGCCGCCACCGGTCACATGAGCGCAGTCCCGGCTCCTCCTCGCCCGCTTTGGTGCTTTCCTCCCCCCTGAGCCCAGCGCGCGCAAATCTCTGCTGCCCCGCGGCTGCTGCCTGGCGCTGGCCGCCCGAGCGCTCAGTTACCCGGGCCAGGAATTGCCTCGCCTCCGCCCCAGCCACTGTGCGCCGCGCGGGCTCCACCCGCCCGCGCCGTCCCCAAGTGCCAGGTGAACTCTGCCCGGGAGGTGCAAAAATGAGCGGGGAGCTGACAAAGGCAGGCAGCAAAGTCGGTCTGCGCAGCAATGCGAGGCTTCAAAAAGTGCCCGAGTGAAGAATCCCAAACACAGGAGGAATCTTCTCCTCAGTCGCAGAGGCTTGGCTGGCAGATCTGCAGATGACACAAAATAAATAAATAACACCCTTGGAAAACAAGTGTTCCTGTAGAGCCTTTAGAGACTAACAAAATAGGCATTCAGATTTGAGCCAACAAGAGTGGGCCTGGTCTAAGAACAAAATGTTTTTCAAATCACTGGAAGGAAAAGGGGTGTGTGTGTGTGTCTGTGTGTGTGTGTGTGTCTGTGTGTGTGTGTGTCTGTGTGATTTTTGTATAACAAATCTTTTGTAAAGAACATCATAGCTATACTGGGTCAGACCAAAGGTCCATCTAGCCCAGTATCCTGTCTTCTGACATTGGCCAATGCCAAGTGCCCCAGAGGGAATGAACAGAACTGGGAATCATCAAGTGATTCATTCCGTCACCCCATTCCCAGCTTTTGACAAACGGGCTAGGGACACCATTCCTGCCCATTCTGGCTAATAGCCATTGATGGACCTAACCTCCATGAATGTATCTAGTTCTCTTTGAACCCTGTCATAATCTTGGTGTTTACAATATTCCAGGGGTGACTACTGAGGAGGGACACAAGGGGAAGGGGGCACACGGGCACAGGATCATTCCTGCCATGTGACTCCTCTGTGTCACCCCTATGCCAGGGGAAGGCAAAAGCAACCCCTGCCGCTGTTCCAAGCCCTACCCCTCTTCCAGCCTGCTGCTTCTGCCCCTGCTCAACCTCCTCCCCGTCTCTTCTCTGCCCTGCCTCTTCCCCCCATCCCCCAAGCAATGCAGCCCCAGTGGACTAATGGGGATCTGGCACAGGGTGGCAGCAAGGATCAGGCCCCTACCCCTGGCATCACCAGCAGCGGCAGGAGAAAGCAGAGAAGCCTACTTCACTCCCCCAGCTCCTGGCTGTGTCTACCCACTTCCTCTTGCCAGTGAGTGTGGAGGGCAATCCTGCGGCCTCCCCTGAGTGACACAGTCAGGAGCTAGGAGTAGGCTAGGGCCATGTTGCTCCACTCTCCTGCCCCCCTTCCCTTTCCCCCTCCTCCCCGCTGTACATGAGAGCAGGGGGTGATCCCAGCCTCTTCCCTTGAGTAGTATGGCCAGGAGCTGGGGAAGCAGACTAGGCTAGGGCTGAGTCACTGTGCTTTTACCCACCACTGCTGGTGACAGTGAGGGGGGGGGAGGCAACCCCAAGCCTCCCCCACCCCTGCTACTCCCCTGGGCTGCCCGGAGGCTCTCCCCCTCCCCCCCAGATGCTGGCCCCTTGCCTCTCCCACCCACAGTATTTGGGTGCACATGCCTGCCCCCCCATCCCCATGCCTCATCCCTGCAACACCCTCTGGCAAAGAGTTCCATGGGTTGACTATGTGCTATGTGAAGAAATACTTTATTTTGTTTGTTTTAAACCTTCTGTTTATTAATTTTATTTGATGATTCCTACTTCTTGTATAAGAAGGAATAAATAACACTTCCTTATTTACTTTCTCCCACCAGTCATGATTTTATAGACCTCTGTCATATCCTCTCCTTTTCTAAAGTGGCTCTTTTAGCATAAACTGTTTCTAAGAAACAGTAATCTACTTTTATTAGAACAGGAATAACCCCAGAGATATTGTATAAATATTTACTGCTATGAGAGTAATAATCGGTGAGAGTCCCTCCCACCCTGCAAAGAATGACATATGTGCTTAATTCTACACAGTGTTGGCTGGTCTATCTGCAGAAGCTGCACCACGTAACTTATATTGCTTTTTAAATTGGTTTAGTTAAATCTGTGTGGACACACAAAGCAGTTTAAACCTCTGAATTTCACTTGCTAAAAAATAGTGAACATATTCAGATTTAAAAACAATGTCATCACTTTCACAGAGCCCTGATAATATGTAGCTGCTTATTTGATAGTAATCAACACTAACGATTAAATTAAAATATATCAAAATCAGGCCAATCATGCTTAGGAACAAAGAGGGAGAGAGAGAACAACACAAAGACACATGCTTAAGGATTAAGAACAGCTAATGACATTCCCTCTTCCAGGAACTGGCATAACCTCAATGTTTGTCCACATGCAAGGAGATGTGGTCAGGGAAACATTTTTGAGGAATTTGTCATGTTTCAGTGTTTTTAAATGTACAGTCTGAAGCTGAAGGAAAACAAGTCTTACAATGTAACGGTTTTCTTTTTTCTTTTGTGGCAGCTTACTGTGATTAATAATTACAAGCTTTCCAGTGTGTTACAATGTCTTGCCTTGCTTCTTTATACCCTACTGTATTTTGCTTATACTATACCATAAATAAGCAGCACCATTTTTCAGAAATAGTTAAGCATCTCAAATAATCTGCTTTCTCCTTCTGGAATCCTTTACTTCAGTTTCTGTTGACTAGTCAGTTCCAATTCTCCTCTCATTTATTTGGTTTTACACCAGTATAACTCCACTAATTTAATCTGAGGAATTCCCAATTTACACGTGTGAGAACTAAGCCCTTGGAGTTTGATTTAAGCCACAAGGTTTTGATCTGGCTTCAGATATGAGGGCATGAGGGAATATCTGGATTTGGAAGGTTAATTCAGATCAATCTCTTGTCTCTGTATTCAATTGGGGGAGGATAGCACTGATTAACAGCAGCAAGCACCACAGAAGGGAGAGAGGATAGTGTTGTAATTAGGGACATGACTGAGAGTCAAGAAATCTGGATTCTTTCCCCAACTCTACCACAGACTTGCTCTGTGACCTTGGTCAAATCACTTATCTGCCCCATGCCTCAGTTTCCCAATCTTTAAAATAGGAATAATGATATTTTCCTAACTCACAGGGATGGTGTTAGAATGACTTGATACTTGTAAGACACCCTGATTTCTTTCTTTTGTGGGTGACAGATGCAGACATAGACCTGGCCTTATGTCCATTCAGCTCCCTAAACTAAGATGATCCATCCCATTGATGGAGTTATCTTCTCTATTCTACTGCTACTTTTGTTCCTGGTCCCTGGCAAGTGTCCTTCTGACACAAAAAAGTTTTCCCTCCTCCTCACTAGTGAGTTAAACTTCCATATCATCATGTTTTATGCTGCCTTCCCCCCAGCTCTTGTCCCTAATGCATAGAACAGGAGGCAAGTAAACTCATTGCTTGCAGTAAGAAGTTGTTGTTGTTTTTAATCTGTATTTCAAAGGAGAAATAAAATACTCAAATGCACAATATAATGATTTTGCTATAAATATTAGAGATGTGCCTCCTCCTCAAAAAACAAACAAACCTAGTAAATAGAGAACAGCAGCAATAAAGCAAGCAGCTCAGGTCAGCAGAAAAGGGTAATAAGAGCAGCTTGTGGTTCAGACTGTACAGCCTATTCAAAATCCAGTGGTTGAACTACAGTTTATAACCTTGAGGCGTTTTCTTTTACATTTTTATATTTTCCTGCAAATTAGAAACAGATTGTCCTCATCCCATGTCCCAAACCTCCTGTACTAAAGAAACACAGCACAGACTTTGAAGAAATATAAGTGAGAAATATGCAAATGAGGCTAAGCATGGAATATCGCCGAGCCTCATTTGCATACCTAATGAGCCGCCATTTTTGTAGGAGAGGCTCTTGAGAGGCTCTTGCATCAGAAGGAGCTGTCTACACTGCCCATTCTTTTGCAAGGAAAACCCTCTTGCGCAATGCCTTTACGCCAATTATTTTCAGGAATAACCACATTGCGCAAGAGGGTTTTCCTTGCAAAAGAAGGGGCAGTGTAGACAGCTCCTTCTGATGCAAGAGCCTCTCCAAAAAAAATGGCGGCTCATTAGGTATGCAAATGAGGCTCAGCGATATTCCACGCTTAGCCTCATTTGCATATTTCTCACGCAAGAAGCCGCGAGTGTAGACATAGCCTAGAGGAGGAAGCATCTGCCACCATTCTTCAGGGGAAAGGGAATGTGACCTTCAAAGGATCTGTCTTTTATTCACCTCTCCATGAGCATGTATGCATGGCAGGAAGGGCATAGCCAGGGTCATAGACATTTCTCCACTCCTTCTGTTATTTTGTATTGTCCTGAGACCCCCAAACCTGCTGGGCAGCTCCCCCTTAAGTGTGAGAAGACATTCTTAGGCAAAGCAGTGATATTGCAGAAAATCCAGTTGTTGGGATTTTTTTAAAATAAAATCTAACAAAGATGCTTCATGCTACTTCCTAAAAGTTTCGTGCAGTTTTCAGAGCAGCCTTTGTAAATGTTGTGCTTGTGAAAAGTCCCAAATGAAAGACTGTTGCCCTCTGTTAAGCCACTGGACAGGTAATACAGGATTATAGATACCAGCTGTGAAACCTTCTCTCTCTCCCCCATCAATAGTGATAGAAATGTAGCCGTGTTAGTCTGGTGTAGCTGAAACAAAAAACAGGACTATGTAGCACTTTAAAGACTAACGAGATGGTATATTAGGTGATGAACTTTCATGGGCCAGACCCACTTCCACATCATTTGATCTGAGGAAGTGGGTCTGGCCCACGAAAGTTCATCACCTAATATACCTTCTTGTTAGTCTTTAAAGTGCTACATAGTCCTGTTTTTTGTTCCCCCATCAATGTACCTCCACCCCAAAGGGCAAGAACTACTCTTAATGCTGCAGAGATAGTGCGGTCCTTGGTCTCTACAGTCTTGTGTGCCAATTAACACTGAGTATTGTGTAGATTTCTCTGTCTTGAGCAACTTGGCCACAATCAGAGCTGATGTACTCCAATCAAGTCAGTGAATGAGTATAGCCCTAGGGCTGTTAGAAACTGGACTGACACCAACACCTAATTTCACTTAGTTCATCAAACATCCATTGTTATTTCAGTCTGTTATTGATGTGGGCTGAATTCAAAACAATACCCTTGTGATGACAGGCTCAGTATCCAATCATCAATCCTCTTTGCTGCATCTAAATAAAAATATTTTCTCAAGTTACACTCAATACAAAGTGCATGGGTGCATACATGCTTATAATGTGAGAGGCAAAACAAGCAGATAAGTTGCTGAGATTTAATGTAGCCATATTTCAAATCAGGGGTCTCAT